GGCTAATGGAGAAGGGAACATCCATTCCTCCTTGTGCTTTCCTTCTCCATCCTGTTTAGCTATATTTTAATTGATAAATATATATATATATACTATACACACATCCAAATCTCAATGATAATCTTTTTCAATGTTAAAACAAGAAGAAAAAAAGCAAGCATAAAATAATATCATATTTAATTCTGACTTTCCCCTTCTTTGTACTCCAACTAATGTGCAGTTTCTATTGGCATAAACTTCAGAAATCACATTCTGTGTGTGTTTACCTTGCTTCAAAATATGTAATATATATGGAAGCCATTCTGATCTGGGCTAGGGATGTTTTGCGGGGATGTTTTTCACCTTGGGTGGAGCCTATAATAGTTTTTATCAGAGTCTTCAGTATGATATGAAATTGGATTGAGTGCTTGCAAAGTAATTTTGTATTTGATACTGCATCTTATTTGACAACAGATGAAGTGCTTTGCCACTGAATACTTGCTAGCTCCTCAGATTAAACTAAAAGAAAAAATGTGCTACCGCATTATTTGGAATTGTTACTATGAATGATATTTATTTGCTTCTTACCGAGCTCTACTTTCACATTCCTGAACATTTTCTTTCAAATAGAATATCTTATAGAAAGATGGGAAGAAAATCCATCTGGTAGACAGATAATTCAAAACAAGATTGCCGAAGCAGCTGGGTTTTTAAAAATAATGCTTGTCAGAAGCCCATAAAAAAGGAAGTCCCAGAAGAACACTTATGGAATAGGTAGGGTGTTTATGATCCTTCCTCATTCTCATCTCCTTGCTGAGTTTCATTTTACTGGACCCATCTCAGGGGTATGCCATTAAACGCACAAAAATTGGTTCTTACCAGTTCTAAAGCAAGAACTTGGTTTATTATTGAAAATAATATGCTCCGCTTCCCCTCCGTTAAACAATCTCATGAGATGGGACCCAAAAGATGCCCTTTATCACTGCTCCTTTCTAGTAGAACAGCATACTGTACTTTGCAAGATCTAGATGGTCTTGACTCCACCAGCCTTTGCAAAGCACTAATGACACTGGCTGTTCCTTGGATTTTGGGCCAGAATACTAAACAAGCCCAATTCTGATGAATTTGTTGAAAGATACAGCCTTGGGTACAATGTGTTTTATAAATTTTTGACATTTATATGTGTTGCTTTTAATT